ACTCGGCCCGCTTGACTTTTGTGAGCTTAGAAAGCTATATGGCCCAACCTGCATAAAGATATGGGCAAAAAAGAACTCTCATATATTTTAAGTTTAGATTGACATATCTTGAGAACATAAATGATTACGTAGAATATTTCACAATATATTTAAAATATTAAATGTACTTTTAAAATATCAGTAGGTCTCTGATCACGATATCAGCATGACTGAGTCCGACTACAAAGTCGGTATCCAACCAAAATACCTGACAGTATCCAACGGCCAACCACCACTATTGGTTGCGGTAGTTGTTGAAATACCTAAAAATTCAAACAAAAAAAAAAAACACCATTACCGGTGACACCAAAATAAATAAAAAACCCTGAAAAATCACATAATAAATCCAACAATCCACGAACTGAAAAAATTTCAACAGATTGCACAATTCAAAAGAAAAAAAAAAGAGCAAAAACCACAATTATACAAACATAATCTCTTCCTCTCTCTTCTTTGCACCAAACTCATCTACAGATTTGCAATATCCCCTCCAAAAAGACGTGGATCAGCATCGTTTGCATCAAACAATGTCGCCTCTAGACACCACCCTGACGCTGCTGCACCAACGCCATAGCGAAGGCCTCTTAGGAGTGAAGAAAAATCTACAGATCGCATACGGTGTTCTTCTCCACGGCAACGGCAACGATACGACGCCCCGACGGCAACAGAGAGATAGAGAGAGAGAGAGAGAGAGAGAGAGGGTCCGGTATTGTCTTTGAAATGATGGCATGTTTACTTACCTGATTGAAGAATGAGAGCAGGAGATAAAGAGTCAATCTCATGTTTACTTGTTATTTTTTATTTTGAAATGAGAGTGAAATTGATGACTCCCACTTAAATTTAAAATTTAGAAATGAGATTAACATTCTCATGTGCCCTCTTAGGATTGAAATTCTCATTCATAATATTAATATCAATTTACTATTATACCTATATTTTACTTATAAATACACAATTAAAAATAAAATTTTTAAAAAATAAATGCAACATATATTTATTATTTTATTTGCCTAATATTATAATATTAGCATAATTATTGTTAAATTTAATATAATAAATATGTACTTAATTTTTTAATGAATTAATAATTTATTTTATTTTTTAACACTATTTTTTATTTTTATTTAAATTTTTTTAAAATTTATTTTTATATTTTAAAAAATTGTACAATTTATATTTATTATTTTAGTACCCAATTATTACACTAAATATTTTAATTATGATTAATTTTAATATAATAAGTACACAATATATTTTTTTAATTAAAAATATCAAATTGATTTAAATGGTGTATTAATACTTTTACACTTTTTTATTCCTATTCTGGGTGTAAATAAACGTATGAATGAGATTTAGAATAACTCCGATTCTGAATCCTATCACTAAGTAAACAGCTTATTCTGACTCTGATTCCTCACTCCGAATCCTGCCCACTCCGATTCATGCTCATTCCGATTACGCGTAGTGAGAGAACGGCTAGTACTCGAAGGATGGAGGGAGAAGGGAAGAAAGAGAAAAAAATAAAAAATAAAACCTACTTGAGGGATATTTTGGTCCACACAGTAATTTTTTAAAAATCCACTGTGGCAGAAAATGTGGGAGTGTTTCATTGCCCGGAGGAAGTCGATCCACGGCGAAATTCCGTGGTGTGGTTCGTAATTATCCCTAACGATATGTGTCGGATTGTAGATGGGTAATTAAGGACAACGCGTGAAATGCAGTCAGACTTGTTTCTTTATTGTGGAAATATATATATATATATATATTTTAAAAAATAAGATAAATATCTCTTAAAGCGGACAATTTTATATTTTTATTATTTATTTTTTATTAATATATTTCTTAATCAAATAATTATATTAGTAAAAAAAATGCATTAATTAATAATAAAATGTAAAAATTTGAATCGATAAAATGAACAAATCTTAAGTGACGTTTAATTAATAGATTTAAAATTATAATTTATAATTTTAATTTTTAAAATTTAATATTTTATAAAAAAATACTATAACGAATTAAAAATCATAATTTAAACCAAACTAGACGCCCAAATGAAACAAAACATTAGTCTTTTTACTTTAAATTTTGTTCCGCCACATAACAGGAAAATTTTTATAATTTTTGTGCTCCTAGTAGAAGTCGATCCACACACATTTTTTGTTGCAAAAACAGTGACGATTTTAAAATTTAGTTCAATAACGATTTTAACATTTGCATAAATCTCGCTTATATTTTTTTAATAAAGAAATTAAATTGCAGAAGGACCCATAAAAAAAAATTGTAAAAGGAAATGGTGACTTGACATGCAATTAAAACGATGAGGGAAAACAATTACTTACATAGAAGAGAAACTACTTTAGTCGTTAATGTAAGAAAACAGGAAGTACTTCAGTAATCATGACTTATCGAAAACAGGAAGTACTTCAGTAATAATTACTTACATAGAAGAAAAACTACTTTAGTGTAAAATTAATAGATTTAAATTTATTATAAATAAGTTTAAATTATAATTAAATAAAGATAATTAACACGATTAATAAATAAATTAAATTATAATTGACATTTTAATACGAAGTGATATAAATTAACACGATTAATTATATATATCATCTGTAATATAATAATATGTGATACAACATGAAAGTTTATATGACATATTAAATACAAATAATGCAAATTTTAATATTTATAGGTAAAATTTATTTATTTTTCTTAAAAAAAGATAAATTGACCAATAAATATGTTAAATATGTCTTGACCGTATTAAATAAGGTATTATTATATTAATTATTTATTTAATATATTAATTTAAATAGATTATATGAGTTGACACGATTAACACGATTAATAAATTAATCGTGTTTAAGTTGACATTTTTGACACGTTTAATAAACATGTCGTGTTTGAATTGATATTTTTTAACACGATTAACAAGAATACGATCCACTAACAAGTATTGCCACCCTTACTTATCAGTTACGCCATTAAGATCAAGTACGCGCCAAACCAACAAACTCCCATATAGAAAACCATTAGCATAAATAGAAAACAAAAATTCTCAAAAAAAAAAAAGAAAAATCATAATTAAAATATTTGATTTGATCTATATGTGATCAAACGACCTAGAGTTTTCGATTATAACTTTTGAATTTCAAATTTTTTATAAGAAAAAAATTTATAGCATAATAAAAAGAGAAAAGTATATGTTCTACATCTTTAAATATCTGACTCATTAAAATTATTTTTTTAAAAAATTCTGCTCCTTAACTAGTGATAGTTTAAAAGGTATAAATATATAAACTAATGTTAAGAGATAAAAATAAAAAATGGCTCAATTTTAAGTGGTTTTTTAAAAATTGCTCAAACAAAAATCATAAATTATTATATATACTATAAGAGTCACTCTTTTTACTGTTCTTTGAACAGTTTCAATTCTTTTTTATCCCTCAACTTTTGAAAAATTCTTTGTGTGTCCATTCACTTTTACTTTTACTATTTTGCCTTAAGCTTCTTATTCATTTATTTATTTTTTGTTTGAATTTTTTGGTCATTTATGTGGTATATACTAAATGCCTTAGAAAACTTCTTAAAGAAGCTTTGTTAACCTTTTTCTTTCCTTTTTGCCCCTCTTCTTTTTTGTTTATTACTCATTTAGTGTTAATTGAAGTGAGAAGTGTATTTTGAATAATGCATTTTTAACCAAAACGATGTAGTTTTGGTTGAAAGTGTACAACTTTCTCACTTTTTTTATTCTTTTATTTTAGGTTGTTTTTATTTTTCATCCTAAAATTTATTCATTTTTTTATTTTAGTCCTTTTAACTTTTTATTTTTTTTCTTTTTGTCCCAAAATTTTATTTTCATTTTCATTTTAGTTCTTTTTGCCTTAAAATTTATTCATTTTTTCCTTTTGGTTTTTTATTGACAATATTTCTTCACTTCTTGCCCTAAAACATTTTTTTACCCTAAAGTTTATTTATTTTCCCTTTTTTTGTTCATTTTGCCCCTAAAACTTATTTATTTATTCATTTTAGTCCTTTTTAACCTCTTTTTTATTTTTTACTTGAAATTTTAATGTTTTTTCGTTTTTTCTCCTTTTGTCTTAAAATTTATTTATTTGTCCATTTTGTCATGTTTTGACTTTTTTTTTTAATTTTTTCCCAAAATTTTATTATTTTATTATTTTGGTTCCTTTTACTCCAAAATTTAGTCATTTATTCATTTTTGTCTTTTTTGACCCTTTTTTTTTATTTTTTTCCTACAACTTTATTTTTTTCGCTTTAGTTCATTTTGTCTTAAAATAATACTTATTTATTTATTTTAGTCTTTTTTTGACTTTATCTTGACTTCTTGTCATAAAATTTATTTTTTTTTCTTATTTTGGTTCTTCTTGAGATTTTACATTCAATTTTATATATTTTTTTAATAATAATATGATAATTAGTTAATTACAACTTAACACAAATTATTTTCTACATGCAAAAACACGTGGAGTTTAATTAGTTTCTACTATAGCAGAACTCATGTACAAAATATACGCTAAAATTTTATTTTCTAATAGACGTTTAGTTCATAGATTCAGAATCATAATTCAGAATTATTTTTAATTTATGTGTATTTTTTATAAAAGAAATACTATAACGAACCACAGACTATAATTCAAATCGTAACACGAATACATCAGTCAATTGTAATCTTAAAAGATGTTTAGTTCATGAATTAAAATCACAAGATTAAAGTTATTTTTTATTTATATGTATTTTTTATGAAAAAAATACTGTAATAAACTATGAACCATAATTTAAATGGAATCAACTTACCAAACGTTACGTTAGTCTATTGGAAGAGGGAGAGTCAGAAACACTCTTCAAACCTCGCACGTGCGAGGAGAGAGAGAGAGCATCACTAAAAAAGTAAAAAGCTCCCTCATTTTAATTCCACTCTTACCATCTCCACAGTCCGTCGCACCGCATTCTCGTAGAAAGGAAGGAAAGAAAAAATCGCCGTATCGGGAGAATGCGAATCAGACGATGCCACATGTCGAACCCCAAAAGCCCCGTCGGTAAGCTCTCCTGTCTCCGTAATCCCCCCTCAATCACCGACTTTCGCACTTTTTCAAGCTGGTTAATGGCGTCTTTTCGCTTCCAAATGTGATTATCACAAAATGTTATCACAAAATGCCCTTCCTTCTCTCGTCTAATTATTATAAATGACGACAAGGTTTTGTTCTTTTCTTCTCTTTTTTTCCTTTTTCTCTGCACGGCAGGCAAAGAAAATCAGGGAAAAGTTAGGGTTTGTGCGATTGGGAAATCCATGGGGAGGGGAAAAGTCTCGATGAAGCGAATCGAGGACAGGCACAACCGCCATGTCACATTCTCGAAGCGGAGAGTCGGTCTGATGAAGAAAGCCAACGAACTCTCCGTCCTCTGCGACGTCGAAATCGGTCTCATCGTCTTCTCCGGCAGCGGCAACCTCTACGAGTTCTCTAGCTCCCACAGGTACCAACTTATATATATATATATATGTATATTTGTTCTGTGAAAGCTACAACGTGTTTGATTCTTTTTTTTTTCCTTTTGTTTTTTGCTCAAGAACTGAAAGAACGTGTTTGATTCTTTCCTTCGCAGTATTGTGTTTTTTTTTTTCCCGTCTAGTTTGTCTGTATAAATCGATCATACTTTTTACTACCGATTTGGTTGTATTGGTTATTATTGATTATGTGGGTTGTGGAAACAGTAGAGCGACGTACATAGTTGCTTTCTTAAATCTTGGACATGATTGAACTTTTTTCTTTGTTTTTTGTATTTGTTTTTTTGTTTTTCTCTCTGTGTTATATATAAAATAGGGCACATATATTTTTATATATGCTGGTATGGATAAAAGGATGAACGTTAGCTTCGGTGATCAGAGTGTACGGAAGAGTGTTCTAACCCACAGCTACATTAATGCCAATGGCTTGTTTGACGTTTCCATTTTGATATGTTATTTCTAATTGTGCTTCAGTACTTGATGGTATCTCAAATGCTAATTGTAAAAGATCTTTTAAAGTCCGTTTGGTACCTAGATTCGTTTCCTGATTCGAATCATAGTTTGTGATTCACTATAGTATTTTTACTCACAAAAAATACACATAAATCAAAAATAATTTTAATCATATGATTTGAATTCATGAATTAAACGTCACCTAATTTCTAAAATAATTTAAAAATTTATAATTTATAATGATTTTATGAAAAAGAAAGCATATTAATCGATAACAATCAAATATTAAATTTGACATATGTTATATATTGTTGGTAGATTTGCTATCAAATATATATCATATGGAATATATAACACAAAAAAATAATATTACGGGTCCGTTTAATTCGTTGATTTGAGTTTAAAATTAGAGTTGAGAAATGATTTTATGTGAGAATTTTTTATTGTAATAAAAAAATTAGATATAACTGTTTGTGAGAGTTTTATATTGTAACAAAATTTGAATTATAAACTCGAATCAACGATATGAACGAGATTTACATCTTAAAGTGATTTTCTTACTAAAAGTTAAAATTTAAGGGATGTTTGGTTGGAGGATTTAAATCATAATTTGAATTATAGTTCATGGTTCGTTACAGTATTTTTTTTCATAAAAAATATATAAATTAAAAATAATTTTAATCACATAATTTTAATCTATGAATTAAACGTTTAGTATTAGCGCGCACTAATTTAGCATTGTATTATAAAACTTTTAGTATTTTGGTTTAGCATATATATTGGAGCAGTAATATTTGTGCCCGAAAGTGTTAATTCACATGTGTCAGAGTTTGATACGGTAAACACACAAATTTACTGAGTAAGTTTTGAGTTAGAACAAAAGTATATAACATTTTGCTATATAAATATCTTTCTATTGTGATTGTAAATATAATCTAATAATTAATCCACCTCCGACTACTTTTACTTTACTTAAAGTTCCCTACTTTAATTTTAAAGTTTAAAAAGAAAATAAAAAAATTTACTAGTTGCTATCAACCGAAAGACGGCGCCGAATCATTTCATAGCTGTATTATAGCTCTGTTGATTTGCTTTTTGTCTTCTTTTGGTTCTGAGGGATGACTTCATGTATCCTCGGAAGTGGTGCTTTCTTTTTTGTTCATTAGCTCATGCTCTGTCATTACATCACTTTTTTTGTTTGGCTTTTGGAGTAAATAGTTTTCGAATACTCGTTCGTTCAGTTATTAGAGTTGTTCGTTCAGTTATTAGAGTTTTTAATTTGAATTTATATGTGATTTTATATAAGAATTTTTTATTGTAATAAAAAAAGTTAAATGTAATTTTTTAGGAGAGTTTTTAACTGTAGTAAAATTAGAATTGAAAACTCGAATCGGTAAAATAAACGAGACTTAATAGTTTTGGTATAAGCTTTTTAAGTAGTGAGGCCTTATGACTTGTAGGAATTAATTTAGGTAACGAGAATAAGGATCCTAATTTCTAAACGATCGTAAGATCTATGATCTATAGGTTCGTATTTTTGTGAAAAACAAAAGAAAATTTAGAACTTTGAGATGCAAGTTTTTGATGGTAAACTTATAAAAAAAAAAAAAGAGAGACTAGACACTATGAGATGGAAGTTGCAACGGACAAATTGACTCACCGTATAAGGTCACGTATACGTATACAAATTCACTGAAAAGATATAATCAGTTAGAACTCTTGCAAGTGTCTGACAACGGCGATCCACGAAGAAAGTTGCAAATTCATCGTTATATATATATATATATATATATATATATATATATAGTGACGGCTAAGACTTAAAAAGTAGTATATAATTACGTATGAATTACCATCCCATGCATAGAAACTAGAAGAACATACGTAAAACATCAAGGTATTTAAGCACATTTTAATCCAGGTCTTTTACATCAACCGTATCATGCCTAGGTCTTTAGAAACAAAAGCCAACAGTTGAGGGATAAAAAGATCTCTTTGAAGATCAATGCAAAATTTCAGGCAATTCAAACGCAATCTCATTGTTATATTTTTGGTGGTGTACCGTTAGTTAAGCTTGACATTAATTCACTATAAGAAAGAAGGTTTTTAGCGACGACAATTAAACGGAATTGTCGTAGCTAATAAACAATTAGCGACGATAAATTGTCGTCATTGTAGATCTATCGTTGAAAATATGTTTGGCGATGACAAACTTGTGGTCCCTAAAAAATATGTACAGCGACGAACAAGTCGTCGCTATAAGTTGCAGGTTTCGTCGCGGAAAAGTTGTCAGCAACCTAATGAGAAGAATTCAAACCTCCTGCTAACCTAATGAGTGCCTATAGGACTCCTATCATCAATTATACATTCTTTCATACTAGGCTCATCGTAGAAGTAAAATTTCTTCTCAGCTTCGTATCGAGAATGAAATTTGAATTCATTGCTAGGGGCCTACTCACCTTATTACGAATCCTTTACGAAAGAGAGAAGTAAAGAAAATACATTCGTTCCATGCACAATTGATTTATCGATTTGTAATGAGTTTAATACACAGGCATATAATAATTTGGGTTGTGATACATGGTTGCTAATGATACATCAAATTCAGAAATTAGAAAAGAGGCCGTTTGGTCTAGTGGGGGGAGAAATTGCCCAGCATGTTCCTATCAAAGGCAAGAAATAGCGTTTACAAATTGAAACCATTTGATTTGATGGGAACATCATTGATAGTGAAGGGGAAATTGTGAATTTAAGTTAGTAATTGTTTTTAACAACCTCTACACTTCTTCGGTAGGCGTTTGAAAGGCATTGCTGAGGTTGATTGTAGCCCAATTTCATAGTTAGAAGCGATTGATTGGGAAAAGCCGTTTGATGAGGAAGAAGTAGGGAGGGTTGTTTTTGAATGTGATGAGATTATAGCTCCAGGGGAAGAAGGTTACTCAATGGCTTGTCTTTAGCTAGTTTGGGATGTTTTGAAAAATGAGATCATGAATTTCACTCAAAGAGATGTCAATGGATTAAACAATAGGACATACGCCCATTTACATAACGAGTTAAACTCTTGTAAGATTAGTGACTTTAGGCCAATTGGCCTCATCAATAGTTTGTACAAGATGATTTCTAAGGTTCTGGTCTCTAGGCTAGAGGATTTAATAGAAGAAACCATTTCGAAGGCAAAAGGGGCTTTTGTGGTCGATCGACAAATTTCAGATGTGGTGCTCATGGCTAATCAGGTAGTGGAAGATTATCAATGGGGTGGTAGGTCTGTATGGTTTAAAATTTATGTTGAGAAGACTCATATGATCATGTCGAATGGGATTTGTTGGATTCGGTATTGAAGAATAAAGTGTTTTAGAGTTAGATTAAGGAGGTGGATTAAGGGCTGTTTATCTTTGGTGTCATTCTCAATGATAATCAATGGTAGACCAAGGGAAAAGATTAGGGATTCTAGAGGTTTACGACTAGGAGATCCAATGTACTTTGGTGGGCAATGCTCTTGGATGCCCCGTGGATAAGGCTATGGATCAAGACTTGATGAAATGTCCGGAAGTAGAAAAAGTGTTAATTTGGGAATCAATTTAGAAGAAGTAGAGATGGAAAGGATGGCATGGCCAATCAATTATATAGGCTTTCCTCTTGTGGAAAATCCATTGATTTCGCCATTTTGGGAACCGGTGGTCATGAAATTGGCAAGAAGATTGATGCTTGGAAGAGGTCCTTTTCTTCGCGGGGAGGGGGGTTCACTCTTATTAAATCGGCAATCTTAGCTTGACCGAATAAATATTGTGAACTTTTAGGATCCAAAAAAAAGTAGATGCAGTCATTGAGGAGATGAGAGTTTTTCTATGGGATTATCATGTATTAATTAGATCTAGAATCTTCGGTCTCTAGGATTGTTACGATTTAAAACTTAGGATTATCATGTGATAAGATTTGCTTGGATTTTTTTCAGAATTGAATCTTCTTCCAAATCGGATTTGGTTTGGTATAGTTTGCTTAATTAAACTAGATTTGCTTCTGAATTAGGTTTGATTTCGTGTTTTAGAGTGCCGTGGTGCTTGTTTCAGAGCCGAGGCGCCCGTAACTTCTTCAAATTGATCCCTTTGAGTTTCCAAACTTGTTTTAACCTCCAAAACACCTAAAAACACAAAAACACAATAAAAACATAAAATACTCAAGAAGCGAGCGAGGAAACATGGGAAAATTGATCGGAAAACTATATCAAATGACGCACTTATCAGTGATCATTAGGCATCGGTCGAAATTGCCCATAACTTCGTTTAACATGATAGAACAAATCACGTGGAGATGGAAGGTATTTTATCAAAGAGAAATTTTATTCTAGTCTTGTTTTTACTCCCCGTTGATGCTCAAATCCGACCCAACACCACATGCAGCTATGCACGGTGATCCACCGGATCCTATTCACATTGAATTCACATCAAATGTCTAATCGGCTTGATCTGGTTGGGAGAGTGATCAGCGGGCATGCTATGTTTTATCATCAAATCAGGTAGCTGATGTCCTTGTCAAAAGTCTTCCTAGTGCGAATTTTCATCAACTCATTGAAAAGCTAGGAATGTTTAATATCCTAGAACCAGCTTCAGAGGGACTTGGAAGAATCCGTTTATAGTATTGTGTAAAATAAAATAGTGGAAATCAGATTTAAAGGTCAGAATATAGTGAGGAAATTCAGTACCTAAAGGGGTTTTTTATTGTTTGTGAATAGGATTAGTGGGGGAAAAGGTTGGGAGTAAAATATTGTTTACTTTTAGATAAAGATGTGATTAGGTTCTGCAGAACGGACACAATCACTAAGGGGACGTTTGTTTCTTATATTCGTCCCTGATTTTGAATCATGATTCATGATTCATGATTTTCTACAGTGTTTTCTCTTACAAAAAAATACACGTAAAACGAGAATAATTCTGAATACATAAACTAAATGTCCTCTAAGTTCAATTGATGGAGAAAAGATCGGTACGTGTAAAGGGCTTGTCTAGGCTATAAAGTTAAGTCTCACATGCATATGTCCTATATATTTAGATCACAAGACACATGGAATTTAGAAATCCTGGAGATAAAGCACACATGTCTTGCATATTCATGTGACGACTATTTGCTATATAATTATGTATGTAAATTTCAATGGTTTGTGCGCTTTGGTTAAGTTTGAAATGTAACCTTTTATCAAAAATACAAAACACACGTTAACAAAGCATTAATCTAGACTATAATTGATGTGAGATTGGTTGTTCCTCGGCCTTCATTCAGTTTGGGTTGGATTTATTGGTTCGTTTTAGAAAAATACACGTGATGAGTAGTATTATTAGGCTATAGCAATGTAAAATAGTGAATCTCCCTTGTCATTTAATTCTGCTATAGAGTTATAAAAATCTCATTTCCTTTCCTAGTAAGCATCATCACTTAAGAAAATCGCATTTTAGAATATTTATAAAATGCACAGAATCTAGAAAATATTACTTCATAATCATTCATAGATTCTATATTCAAATATTGAAGCTATAAAGTTCCATTTCATCTTTGTTTGAGATGGATGTGTACTTTTATTCTTGTTATGTTATCTTCCAAAATTAAGACTTAACAAGGATAGCTCTTTAAAGAAAAACAATATTGTACCAACTTATGGACAATAACAAGAATAAAGTATACCCATTAAGGGATTTAATATTGATAATTTCAAATGCATATTGTCATGCCAATGTTATGTAGTGTTGAAATGATATAGCGAGCCTGTTAGTTTTGTGTACTGCTTCAAACTTTCCGTACAAAACACAATAAAATATATGCTTGAACTTCAATTTCAAGTATCGTAAAAGACTAGTTTCCTTTTGAATACATGTTGAGATTCAACTTCAGTATATGTACAATTCTTAATATGAGATTTGGCACCAAACAAGACACGCACACATATATTATATCTTTTTGAATGAAACATAATGCGCGTGTGTGTGTGTATGCATATGTTTGAGTGTGTGAGTGCGTGCATGTTTACTTGTAATGAAATGTAATTGAAAAAGGAAAAAGTGCTGGAAGAGAGAGAAAATAAATAGGAAATTCTCTTTCCAGCATTTACTTACCTGGAAAATAGGAAATGAAATTCAAGATAACTTGGAATTTCTTTCTAGTGTTATCTAGCTTTAGGAATAAGAATGTTAATATAATTATTAGTGACTATGGAAACAGTGCTTTGGTTATTCCAATAAAAAAAAAAAAGAAACATTACATGGGATGAGTCAGGATTGGCTTCTGCTTTTTGTCATTCCCTACATTGGCCCTCACCAGATTTGCCTTCCAAATAAGCACACCAATAGATTGGAAAGGAAAATATTCCTCTTCATGACAAGCAAACATGATCTTTAACAATTGTTTTGGTATCATAGCTTCATACTCTAATTGATCTTCCATGACAAACATCTCTTTTTTCTCCCCTTCAATGATCTTAGGCCCTATGCCTCTTAACACTAGGCCGAGAACCTCCAAACCTAAGTTGTATGCCTCCCTCTCCCAAGGCAATGTAGCTCAAACCTGGAGGTGGTGGGCCTCCAATCCTTAGGCCGTGCGCTTCTAGCAGTTCTCTTTTGCCGTGCGCCTATTGCTTAATTAATTAACATGTGCTAGCTTAGAAATATCCATGCATGAAGAGATCACTGATAGTGTTATCCTACGTAATCAGTGATCCCACATCATTCTGGGTAGCTAGGTTGGACTCGTGGTGGAGTTATAACTTACCTGTAACTCCTTACCAGCGTAATGCTAGAAGGCTTCAAAAGCTTCGGGCTTCTTTTTTTTTTTTTTTTTTTTAAAGCCAAGACCTCTCAAGTTGATGAAATTTGAATAAGTTCATTCTCTATACTAGTTCATTTTTATTTTATTATCATCATGAAGAATTCTGTGGTGAATGGTGTGACGCATACAAATGATGCAATATTAATATCATCATTGACTCTAAGCAATAAAAATACTTGTTGCCCTATAAAAAGAAGTGTCCAAGTATGCTATACAGTAAACAACTTGCTGTAATGAGTTTATGGTCATTTTAGGGACATTGACAGTCAAGATTTGGGTAATTTGATTTGGAATTGCAGACATTTTCTTCACAAAGTATTATCCACAAGATCTAAAGCTGAGGCTAATATTTCCTGACTTCCTATTGTACATGAAAATACCACTGAAATTTGAAAAAAAAAAAAACAAAACCTCTGTTTTTTTAATTTTTTAATAATTAAGGAAAATCTAAAGTAGAAATGAAAAATTGCAAGAAAACCTAAGGAGATGAAAAGAGACGTGAGTTTTTTTTTTTCATGCAAAAACTCCTTGAACTGCTCTAGACTCTAGATGGCTTTTTGAGATTTTTATCATATCAAGTTGTACTACATTTTGAGTACTCATTTTCTTTTGCTGCTTGCAACAGAGAGTACATCTGTTTTTTGCGTATGCTTATAGTTTTCCTCTCCTGCTTCAGTTTAGGAAAAACAGTTGAGCGCTACAGGACATACAATGAAGAATTTGCTGTCAAGACTGCTGATAAACCAAAGGTTGACCCCGCATTCAACTCCATACATATTGAATTGAACAATAGGAACACCCATGGTGCCTACCACCATATCCTAATAAAAAGTGAATCCTTTTATATATATATATATATACACACACACACACACACACACACACACACACACACACACACACACACACACACACACGGAGCCACAGATGAGTCTCATTTTTCGGAGCCACAGACGAGTCTCATTTTTTATTTGTGGCCTTTTTTTCAGTGAAATGCATGTCATCCTACAAAATATTGTAATGTTCCTACAGAGCATAAGTCATGATTTTCTATGTTTCCAAAAACAACAATCTATATCTTGGGCTTCATAATGCAGGTGTCAAATTTGGAACTGATTTAGTGTAGGAATTCCTCTTGAGAAAATTGCAAAAACTGGCCCTTAGACACATCATTCTGGAGTTCTACCCTTTTGCTCTCTTTTCCTTGTTCCCTTTTCCTTTAAAGTGTTCCGTTTCTCTTCAAAAAAGAAAAAAAAAAAAAAAAGAAAGTGAAACATGCACTGAAAAAAGTTGGAGCAAAACACTTTCTTCAAATAATAGTGATAACAATGATTAAAAAACATAGAACATATTTCATCCCTTTGCTGAGTAAACCGATTTAACTAATTAGAAGCTTCAATTCAACCCATTTTGTTTTCCGTTCCTTTTTGTATTCTACCCATTTTAAGATAAAATATGTTGAGAACCTAGGAATTCCTTGGAGCAGCAACACAGTAGAAATTACACAAGAATAGAGAGTAGAACTGAAGAGTTGTAGCTTAATTGACTCAAACAATGAAACTGATACAATTAGCAGCATTCAAGAGGCTGCAACTCTCCCAAATCTTGGTTTCCCGAGCCCCAAAACTCTCCCCCGTCCATTAGTTGCTCCCCTCTTAGTTATAAAATTGGTATTTGTCCAACAAATTCTCTGACTACTAACAAACCTCTAAGCACTTGTAGCTATACTAACTAACCGACTCAGGGTCCTTAACAAAATACACTTCATAAGCACTCACCTCAGGGAAAAATATTTTTGTTGTTGTTTTGTTTTTTTTTTATTATTATTTTTATTATTATTATAATTCATTTTGTTCATGTTCTCCACAGAGCTCTAAGTGTGTGAAACAAATACAATAATAGCAATGAAATAGAATACCGTTTTTTACTTATTTATTTTTCTCTCTGTTTTTTTTTTTTTTTTTTTTTTTTTGGGTCTAATCATGCAGAAGAGTCTTACAGACAGTATTAGTGGATTCCGGAGTGCTGAACTGCTTGAAGCGATGAGGTACTTACTTTCAGGTCCATGTCCAGATGTTTTGACAACAATGATAATCCTGATAAGTTGTATTTGCATATACAGTAACCTCAATGTTGAACAGCTAACTACAAAGGAGCTCACAAATATTGAAGGAAATCTGGGAGCCTTATTAAGAGAAACAAGACTAAGAAAGGTCAGATTGTTTACTTTGTTAAGAGAAACAAGACTAAGAAAGGTCAAATTATTTAAAAACTAGATCTAAATCTTAGCTTTTCTTTTTTCTCAGTTATATGAAAGGCTTGTGGGTCAATCGTTTGGAGAATTGGAGATAAATAGTTTCAAGCGAATGGGCAAAGTTAAAAGAGTCTCATTATAAATTTTGTAGTAATTGTTGAAGAGAATAAAATTATACATGAAATTATATATAAATCAAAACTCAGAAACCGGAACTTAGGTCACCTAATGGTATAGAGAATACGAGGCACACAATAGCTTTTGATTGGAAAAAGAACCTAGCAAGAAGGGTAGAAAATGTAAGGTATAATTCCTTTTATATCCTTTAGTCTCACAATAGGTGGAAATTTGCAAGGACATTTTGTAGTTTTCCTTTTGGTCAGGATTTGGAACTAGGACGAATTCTTTAGGGAAGCTAGTTGCTTTAGCATTGTTGTGACCGGAAAGTGTGGCTAGAGAGAAATCATCGAACTTTTGAGGATCATAGAGAAGAATGTGCAGTCTTGTGGGATAGAATTGAAGTATGGATAGCGTTTTTGGATTCGTAGTGTGAAGGATTTTAGTAGCTTACTTTTCTCTTATCTTTTGAGAGTTTGGGATTCTTTTCCAGAGTTTTTTCTTTTGTTTTATCGCCCGGGAAATCTCTTCCCTTTTCCATTTAATCTCTCATACATAATTTTTGATTATTAATATGAGATCTCAGTTTCTTTTAGTCTCACAAGAACACATATGGTTCTCCTAGCTTGCTTAAGATACAATTCACATAGACAATCATTGTTTATTACGCTGCAGACACAGCTAATGATGGAAACTTTATCAGCACTTGCTGAGAAGGTACGTCTTTAATTTCCAACTTCACTTGAGTCCTTCGCAACATCTTGCTTGTGTTGTTTGCAATGTTCATTATCTGAATAAGGGCAAAGGAAGAAACTTTTGACGTTGAGATTTTACTTTTTTGCAATTTTCTTTGCAATGTATGTATGTATGTATGTATATATATATATATATATATATATATATCTCATTGTATTGTGCATAGCCTATCTGGGTGGTATTGCCTATACTCTTGGGTTGTGTATGTGAGAGAGAAATACTGTAGCAAAAAGGCTAAATTTTAATTTATATGAGAGAAAATACTGTAGCAATATGACTTGAGTTGTGCAAATGAACACTCCATATTTTCTCCTTAACTCCTGTTAATTGTGTGGAATACTTGGCTAAAGATCAAGTCAGTTTGCCATCTAAGAATTTCTAGAAATTTGGGCTGATTTTAGATGCTTAGCGGGTGTCAACCTAATTATGATGCACTAAGGGGTTGTTTGTAAGCTATACTCAAATCCAAATCATGATTTTCCTACAGTGTTTTTTATCTCACAAAGAGTTTAAATTCCAAAATTTCCTCTCTCATAAAGTTTCTACCAATGAACCCAAATCATAATTTGAGTATACCTTTTAAGCGGGCCTTAAGTATCCTAATCTAGCTCTTTTTCTCTTCATTTACTTAAAAAAAAAAAGAAAAAAGAAAAAAAATCCTAGAAATTCATAGTCTCGTAATATAAGTCATTTAAGTGTTACTTACTCTGATTGCTTGACAAAGTGCTTTACTTTGTAGATGCTTGTATCGTTTTCCAAAATCTAAAAATTCACAGAAACGTTTATTTATTAGGTAACATTGTCAGTGCTATCATAGGTCTATATGTTTGATCCTGATTCCTGTGGTACTGTATTCACGACCATAATCACAAATATCGCTACATGATAATAAGAACCAAGAAAAGATTAGGGTTAATCTGGTTTTTTAAGATTTACTCTTAATTTCACTTTAAAACGTCCTACAGTTGGACTCTTAAGGCTTTGTTCTGTTACAATTTCGGTCCTTTACGTTAACTAGGTATTAAGTACTTAACCGAATCTGAGTAAATTAAGGACTAAAATTAGAAGCAATAAAATTTAAAGACTATATGAAACTTAAGTTTTGTTTTTTTTATTGCTTAAGTCCTTAAACTCTGGATGTTTCTAATTTCTACAGATTTTATCAAACATTTAACACTTAACTAATAAAAAGACCAAAACAAAAATAAAGTAAAATTTTAGAGATTAACTGAGATATTTTAAAAGTTAGAAAACTAAAGTATGATAGATGATAAACTTGATGAGCCATTTATGAGATTAATTCAAACGATTACAACAACGATAAATAGATAAACAAATTACTATATACATAACCTAAACACCAAAAAAAAAAAAAAAAAAAAAAAAAAAGAGCAAAAACAAAAAGAAAACAGAATTTTGACAAAAAAAAAAAAAAAAAAAAAAAAAAAAGGAGCTAAAAGCAAAAGTAGACATGACTTTGATCACTCGTTTGATGAGTATTAACTTTCTCATATCATTTGAAATGGGCTCAGGAAAAAGAACTTAGAGATGAGAAGCATTTCCTTGAAAAACAGGTAAAGAAAAAATAAACAAAAAAGGAAAAGATGAAGAAACGAACCTGAACGTGACAAGTTTTTGTTTTGTTCAGATTGGGGAAACGATCGGTGGCCAAGGTGGTAGTGGTCTGAACCGCCAAAACGACCAGCGCAGAGGGCAAGAGCTGCAGCTGATAAGCTAAACGACAAAGGAGGCGACGCCGTGCACCGACTCCTGCTGCGACTTTTCTGAGTATACTAAGTAGTGTGTTGTTATTCTAGGAACTGACAATTGTCATTTCCTACTTCACTCAATTAAGCACACGTCAAGTGTGTATATACTTTGGAATTCCAATAGACGTATATATATAGACTAAGTCTGCTACGTAAAGCATTAAAGGTGAATTTGTTTAATGAATTAGGCACACGTGTTCACCATTTGTTGAATAAGAGAGGTACTGCTTTCTTGTGTTTCTTACACCGCAGATGATTTTCAGCAAGGTATCGGGTGCGATATTTGTATAATATTCAGTACGTAGAGGGGTAATAAAGTAATAAATTATCTTTATAATTTTGGGTCCGTGTATGAATACCAAAGAAAATACGTTACTCCAGCGACTATATATTTACTTTTTAAGACATGTATCATTTTCTGAAAATAAGTGAACAAATGAAGTATCCGTGTGTACATTGCTAGAAATGTACTTGTGCTCACAAGGAAATCTATTATCGTTTGGTTGTATTTTCATAGTGAATAAAAGTTGTAACGTAATTTTCAAATGCACGTCATATAAACATCAGATTTAGGTAGTATTTGTTATTTTCAATAAACATTAGAAGGGAGCACAAGACAAGCAGATGGTTGAGAATCACTAGAGGAAGAATATAGCACATTATAAATTGTTTATGACAGCATGTAGCGATTAATTTTAGAAACTCTATACAATGCAGACAACGCAACAAGTCCAAATAACGTAACTACTTGAAAAACGAGATACACAATAAAGTTTCGTGTGTCATTGACCATGCCAAACGTTGCCAATCTGCATAGTGATGGTGGATCCGCCGCGGACGCCGATGTCTAAGTCTGTGTTATTCAAGATCTTGTGAGGGAGCCTTAGGTCATGTTCATTTCACCAATTCGAGTTTTATTATAGTAAAAGGTCTCGTTCATTTCACCGATTTGAGTTTTCAGTTCTAGGTTTCTACAGTTAAAAGCTCTCAAAAAATGTCACATCTAACTTTTTCTGCTACAGTTAAAAGCTCTTAAAAAATGCCACATCAACTCAAATTGAAAACTCGAATCTGCGAAGCGAACGAGGCCAAAAGCTCTCAGAAACAGTCAAATCTAACTTTTTTACTACAGTAAAAAGCTCTTATATAAAATCACATCTCAACTCGAATCAGCGAATTAAACGAGCTCTTAGTCTCGAGTATTTAGAAGTTAGTACAATTGTTTAGTAACCAGTATATTAGTAACTATACAATTGTTTAGTAACTAGTATATTTGTAACTTATTATTGGTGTAATAAGCATATCTGGAAATGTGATAGGGAGTAATAATAATCCTGCAGTTAAGGCATTATAGCCCATGTAATTAATTAATAAAGACCCTGTTCATTTCACCAATTCGAGTTTTGTTATAGTATAAAGTTATCAGAAACAGTCACATCTAACTTTTTTGTTACAGTAAAAAACTCACATAAAGTCACATCTTAACTCAAATTAAAAATTCAAATCAGCGAACTAAACGGACCAAAAACTTATCAAAATTGCTAAGTTGCACTTAGTTAGCCATGTGGTTCTCACTTCTCACTTCTCACCTCAAAGTCTCGAGCTTTGTGCTAGATTTGGGTTAGTTAATTAATAATTAAAGTGCTTAATCCATTGAGTTTGATGTGGTAGGCGGAATTTAGCATGGAAACTTTTATAATATGCTTTGTTTATGTATTCTTTTTATACAAGTAATAATGATCAGCAAATGGGATATTGCGTAATGTATTCTTGGCACCATACTAAGTACTGCATTGGCTTAGCAGGCTGTACTAGTACTGCTTCTAATGCTTATAGTTCCGAAAGGGACTTGTGCCTTTTTTTTTTATGGTGATGACCTTCTCGTGAGATTTAGAGCATTTTCTTTTGCAGTATTTTATGAGTTTGGAACCTTTTCAGCCACTTTTAATATCACTATATATTTTTTTATTGGGATATTAAACTTTTTTTTTTTTGGTTTCTTTTTCTAATGAGAAGATGTAGTGAACTTTGTCAAAAACAAAACTGAAAATAATATGTTTGCCTTACTCTACACTTTTTCTTTCTTTAATTGCTTTCATTAATTATTATTGAGGAAACACATCATGTTTACGGTTGTTAATTCACCAATGTCAATTACAAATGGGTTCCCATTTCTTTAATTAGAGATTCAATTGATGAAAGAAAAAGATCACAATCGTATTGGATATATATACAATGAATAAAATCATTTGCTATCATTTATATTCCATAATAAGTATTTTTTGGGCTTTTCATGATGACTATTTGATCACAAATAGGATCTATCATTAACATGCAGCAATAACAGGGGCCAAATATTTTCCCTATAATCTCTTTCTCCTTTTTTCTTTCTTTTAATCTTATTAAAGAGATGATTCTTAGAATAATTTAATGATGTCAAAAAAAAATCTATTATCTTCAAAATTTTTTTTTTTTTTTTTTTGACTGAGGGCGGTCAATCCAAATGGTAATGCGATATGCGTATGGCCCCCTCACTAGATAACCTCTTGAATACTGCATTTATATCCATTAATTATCTAATTTTCTAAATCTTATTAATATTAAAGATTATTACAATCCTTCTTATAAATAAAGAAGAAAAAGAGGATAAAAAAGAGGAGGAGAGCGATCAAAATATGCTTTTCAATAATCAATATCTACACATAATGACAGTTTTGCTCTAGTTTTGATATCAAAGTCAATCTTATTGACATCAAAACCATCTCCAATCGTCATTAAACGCACCATACCAATCCTAATCTCAAAATCTTCATAATTTAATTTTTGAACACACAACTTAATATATTGAAAACAACTCACACACCGACTAAACATCAATTAAACTAACCTTAATTGGCATATTTTATAATTTAGTTAACAATACTACAACGACAACAACCACTTAAAAAAAATCACGAGATTTTCATCTTAAAATATCCCGATATAATAGGCAGACTAAAGAGAATAACACAACCATAATCCGGTAAATCAAAAAAAAAAAAAAAAAAAAAAAAAGGGGGGACCAAAAAAAACAGTGGGGACCAGTCGCCTGGTTAGTCCAAAGACAAAGATATTAACACAGTAAATGCACAAGATCTCAGTGTTTCCCTTCAACTTCGGACTCTTTATCATCTTTTTATTTTTGCTGTTTTTTTTAATTGTTATTTGTTTTTAATTTTTGGGTTTGTTAAAGACGAAACGCTTTACAGAGAAACAAAGAGAGCAAAAAAAAAAAAAAAAAAAACAGAAAAAAAAGTACCAATAGAAACAAAACCCAAACCGCCACCTTCATTGTATATATATGCAAAACCTGCTTTTATATTCCTCAGTTTATATTACTACTCTCTCTCTCTCTCTCACCGACCACTTTCTGTTTATAATTTCTTACAAACAACCCAGCTTTTGTTGTTGCTCAGAGCTCTTCTTCTTCTTCTTCTTCCAACCGTCACAACCAAAAGGGAAAAAAAAAAAAAAACTGTTTTTTCTTGTTGTTGTTGTGGTTTTTTGTTGCGAGAAAACGCTATCTTTGCAGTTTGGAGAGTGAGCTTCTTTCCTTTTTTGATCAAAGTGGTGTGTCGTCAAGAGTGATTTTTTTTTGGGATAATTGTCGTTTGAGTTTGAAGAAGAGTTGGTTTTGGTGAAATGGGTGAAGCGGAGATTAACGCTTCTGTGATTAAGAGGACGCTCAAGAGTCTTTGTGTTAGTAATTTTCTGGCGCTTTGATGACAGAATCCCATGTAAGTTCTCTCTCTCTCTCTCTCTCTCTCTCTCTCTCTCTCTCTTCATGTTTACATCACAGCTTTCTCTTTGTTCTACTTTCTTTGTTGATTAATTGTCTTTTAACTTGAAATTTTCAACTTTCCTTTGGAAGCAAATATACATATTTCTTAAGAAAATCCAAACTAAAACGAGTGAATGAAATGCTTTAATGGCCAAAAAGAATGAAAAAAGAATATATTTTTTTTTTTCAAGCATTCTCTTCTCTTTTACTTCCCTAAGCATGGTCAGAAAACCCTCAACTTATATGTATTCCAGTCACAAAAAACAAACAAATTGCCTATTTTTTTCTACTTTTTGTTTTTTACTCTATAAGATCAAGCTTTGTAAAAACAATTAAGCTTTGTAAATATGTTTGTTGCTTTAGCTAAGTGTGAAATATGGCATTTGGAATGCTCTTAGGTTGTTGACTGTGGAAGATGCCTACTATGAAGACCAAGTTGGGGCAGTGCATGACAATATGCTTCTCATGGTCCACTTGCTTGGAGAAGGGTATGCTCCATTTTAGTCATTCACTTAAAAAATCTTTTTTTTTTTTTTTTTTTTTGCATTAATCATAATTTTTGTTTGAGAAAAGTTTTTTTTTAATCACAATTTGCCAATAAGATTATCAAAACTGAATGTTCGAAATCGAATGCATTGGCAGAAAATGATGAAGGGCTAATGATGTTCTTGTTGTAAATGTGTAATGTAGAACAATTGGCCAAGCTGCTTTAAGTGGGAAGTACCGATGGAATCTTGAGGATGATCAAAGTGGGGAATGGAATTCCGTTAGATCTAGTGAAATTAGAGACATTTCAGGTATTTTTCCACGTTTTCCAGTTTACCAACTTTTGTGTTGAAATCTCATTTGTTGAGTTTCTTAAATACTAATTCTGTTTATTTTTCTGGAAATTTCCTTTCGCTCCTTTCAGTTTTCCTCTGGAATAAAGGTACCATTTTAACTCGAAAAGAAATTTTTTATTACCAAAAATCAGATTAGCATGTAAAATATATTTTCTTATAATTCTTATGGTAAACATTTCATATACAAGACATATGTATTCATAAATAAATTCTATTTGCAGACACATTATTAGAATATTTTGACCCCCCCGAACCCCCCGGACTCCCCGCAACCCCCGGAACCGCTGGAACCCCCTGAACCCCCGGACTTCCCGGAACCCGGAACCCTGGAACCCCACAACCCCCCCGAGACCCCCAGGACCCCCAAAACCCCCCCAGAAGCCTCGAAACCCCCGGGACCCCCGGAACTCCTGAGACCCCCGGGACCCCCAGGACCCCCGGAACCCCCGGAAATCCTGGGACCCCCGGGACCCACAGAACCCCGGGACCCCAGGGACACCCGGGACCCCCAGAACCCCCGGAACCCGGGGGTCCCGAGCCCGAACCCCCGACTCCTAGGACCCCATTTTTTGCAGGCATGCCTAGAAAAATGTAAGGATCCTATCTGCAAAGTTTCATAATTTTTTGATGTCGTTTTTATTT